CATGATCCCAGGATCAAGCCCTGCATTGGGCTCTCTGCTCAGCAGGGAGCCTGCTTCCCTTCCTCTCTCTCTGCCTGCCTCTCTGCCTAGTTGTGATCCCTGTCTGTCAAATGAATAAATAAACTCTTAAAAAAAAAAAAGAACCTAGTGTATCATGTTAGTTGCCAAGCCCCCCATAGGTCCTCTCGTGTTAGACACACTCAGTGAATCCCCCACATGAAGCTGTGAATGAGCAAACCTCAATGGAAATTCACCCCGGGCTGAGCCTCAGGTCCCATCCCCTTTTCCTCCCCTCTACCCCACCCCTACCCTCCCTCTCCTCTCCCTTTGAAGAAGGGTTCTTTGGGAAATGTTACCCACATCTGGCTCTCAGCGAGCTCCAGGGGCTGTCATATCTGTAAGGCGCCAGTAGAAAGCCTGGATGCCAGGAACCCAGGAGTTCCGAGATCTTGGCCACTGGGGCCACCAAGTACTGAGGACAAAGTCCCCATCCCCACCCATTGTCCCTGGGAGTAAATGTCATCTACCACTGACATTTCAACACCCAACCAGTCTCTTACCTGTGTCCCATGAGGTGACCGACTCCATTTTTGTAAGAAGACTGAGCTTGTCCTTGGGCCCCTGGAGCCTGGACGAGCTGTTTGGGGGCCAGGAGAGCCAGCTGGGTCCCTCAACCTACCACAGGGTTGGGGGAGGGGTGCGGGGGGAGGCAGCGCAAACCTTATACATTTGTAGCACATCCATCCAGATCATCATCCATATCTGCGAGATGGTTCCTGGAAGTTGGATTGGGAGACCAGAAAGTCCAGAATAAGGGACTCTTTTGTTTCCAAAGGTCTCTCCATCCAAGGAGGTCTCTCCTCTTGCCTTTTGGAATTCTCCTTGCCAGCCATGCCCCCCACCTTGCTGAGCTTCCCCCAACTCCCCATGGGCATCCACATGATTAGTTTTCCTGCTTACCCCATTGCTTTCCCTAAATTTTTCCTTCCCTCACCTTGTGCACCCTCCCCGCAAAGAAGTATGCAGTATTTGATCTTCTGCAGTATTTGATCTCAGCGCACAAAGATACCGAACTATGTTCACTCTGCCTCTTTGTTTCACCAAAGCACTTTTTCTCTGTCTCTCAGAGGCTGTATCCTTCTTCTCATAGACATAGGAGTCCTGCTATGCCCCCGCCTCTGACCAACTTGCCCTCTCCAGGCACTAGATTTTCCAGGAGGAAAGTCCCCTTCTTTCCCTCCACTGCATGTGAGCCCAACCACAGAGCCTCCTGAAGAGGGGCCTGAAGGATGGAGACTGGCCACCAGATGGCAGACAAGGATAACCTTAAAACTAGGGAGAGGGGAGGCGCTTTCCTGTTAGCGGCCACTGCTGTGTAATGCAGCTCCTGCATCCTGGAAGCATTTACTGAGCACCTACAGCATGCGTGCCTCTGTATGTTTTTCAGTCCTGCAGATGCACGATATACTTTCCAAAAGTGGGTTCCCAGTATTAGTTTCTTAGTCATCTTATTTTTTAAACAGTTTTATTGTGGAATAATTTACATATAATTAAATTCACCCACTTTAGGTGTACGGTTTCACAAAGCTGGCTAAATATTGGAGACATACAACCACCATCACATCAAGTTTTAGACTATTTCTCTTTTTTAACATTTTTTTAATTTGTCAGAGAGAGCACAAGCAGGGGGAGTGGCTGGCAGAGCAGGCAGAGGGAGAAGCAGGCTCCCCACTGAGCAGGGAGCCTTACGAAGGACTCCATCCCAGGACCCTGGGATCATGATCTGAGTTAAAGGCAGATACTCAGCCGACTGAGTCTCCCAGGCATCCCTCAAGTTTTAGAATGTTTCTGTTGCTCCAAAGAGTTCTTTCCTGCTCATTTGCAGTCAATCACTGCCCTGACCCTGGTCCAACATAGCCACCAAATTGCTTTCTGTTGCAATAGTTTGCCTTCTCTAGAATGTCATAAAGTGAAATCATTTATTACTGGTTTCTGTCACTTAGCATAATGTTTCTGAGATTCAACCAGTGGTTTCCTTTTTATTGCAAAGTAGTATTCCATATGTGCCATGCTACATTTTTTCTATCCACCAATTAATGGATGTTTAAGTGATTTCTATTTTTTGGCTATTTTTATTAAAGTTGCTGTGAGGGGCGCCTGGGTGGCTCAGTGGGTTAAAGCCTCTGCCTTCGGCTCAGGTCATGATCCCAGGGTCCTGGGATCGAGCCCCACATCGGGCTCTCTGCTCTGCGGGGAGCCTGCTTCCCCCCCTCTCTCTGCTTTCCTCTCTGCCTACTTGTGATCTCTCTGTCAAATAAATAAATAAATAAATAAATCTTAAAAAAAATAAAATTGCTGTGAACATTTTCAGACAGGTCTTTGTGCAGACATGTTTTCACTTTTTTTTTTAATTTTATTTGTTTGAGAGAGAGAGAGAGCACAAAAGCTGGGGGGGGGGCAGAGGGAGAGGGAGAAGCAGACTCCCAGGATCATGACCTGAGCTGAAGGCAGACACTTTAGCGACTGAACCACCGGGTGCCCAATGTTTTCATTTTTGGGGGGGAAATAGCTGAGTGGAATTGCTGGGTTATATGGCAAGTGCATATTTAACTTTTTTTTTTTAAAGATTTTATTTATTTATTTGACAGACAGAGACCACAAGTAGACAGAGAGGCAGGCAGAGAGGGAGGGCGGGTGGGGAAGCAGGCTCCCTGCTGAGCAGAGAGCCTGATGCGGGGCTCCATCCCAGGACCCTGAGATCATGATCTGAGCCAAAGGCAGAGGCTTTAACCCACTGAGCCACCCAGGCACCCCGCATGTTTAACTTTTAAAGAAAATGCCAAGCTGTCTTCCAAAGTGACATGTTTATGCCCCCACCAGCTGTCTATGGGGATTTTAATTGCTCCCTAGCCTTGTCCACACTCGGTCTTACCCGTCTTCCACCATTGATTAATTGTAGCAGGTGTGTAGTGGTATCTCAGTGTGCTTGTTCCCTGTTTCAGTGTCTTTCTCTGTCTCTGTCCCTGGCTCTGTCTCTCTCGCCTCCTTGCTCCTGCTCTGCTGCATGTACCAACGGATCAAGGTGCAGGGTGAGAGATGGGCCCCACTTGAGAGGCTGCCAAAGACAGTCCAGGGAGGTGCACTGGTTATTTTTCACGGAGGGAAGTTTGACCCTGGGCCTCTCCAGCTCTGAATGCCAGCTGGAACCCCAGGAGAGAATCTGGCATCTTGTCTAAGCATGACCCTCACCCAGCTCCTCACTGAGCCAACACTTCTATTTGAATCAGTAAATATTTACCAGAGCCTCGCACTCCCACACATCCCCCACACCATGCCGACTCCTGGCCAGCCATGCTCCTGACACTAAGGCCCAGAGGTGAGTCCTGCCTTTACTTGGGCTAGAGGCTGTCCCAGAGAGACAGACCCCCTGACAGACCGCCCGGCCTGTGGCAAGAACAGGCTTCCATGGGTTCTGGTTCCGTGTCTTGTGTTTTCACACATGTAATCTCAGACCCTGTGAGGTGCTTCCTAGGATCATCACTGTTTCACAGACGACAAAACCAGACCTAGGGCTCTGGGTAAAAAGTGGCACAGCTAGCCCTCGGCAGGGCCCAGATTTGAATGCAGGAGGTCTGGCCCTTCAACTACATCATCCCGGGATTCGGAGTAGGATTTGAGTTGTGAATAAGAAGCTTCCAGCTCCTCTTACTCCATTCTCTCTGCAGACCTCAGAACCTCCTGCCAGGAGTCCGGGGGCCCCTTGAGGGCAGTGCCCGGCTTCTTCCCTGTTTCTTGAGGAGCCTCAAGAGAGGGGGGCTGACAGGAGAAAATCACGCCCCAAATACACCCTGGGCATCCTTGGACCTGGAGCCCCATGGCAGGGCCACCTAGGCCCAAGGTCCTGAGGCTTTACAAGAGTATCAGTGCAGCCAATAGAAATGAAAACCTAGGAACTCAGAGAAACTGGTACACTGGTGTCTGCGGCAGCATTACTCAGAATAGTCAAAAGGTACAAACCACCCAAATGCCCATCCTTGAATGAATGGAATAACAAACTGTGATAGAGCCATACAGTGAAATATTATTATTCGGTCAAAAATGGACAGAAGTACTGATACGTGCCATAATTTGAGTGAACTTCAGAAACATTACGCTAAGTGAAGGAACCTGGACACAAAGGGTCACCTATGGTATGGTTATTATGGGCTAGATCCTGGATAGGGAAATCCAGGGAAGCAGCAAGCAGATGAATGGTTATCAGGTTATCAGGAGATGGGGGAGTGTGTAGCAATGGGAGTGATTACTGAACAGGTATGGGATATTTTGCAGAAGTAATAAAAGAGTTTTGTAACTAGAAAGATGTGGTATTTGCACAAAATTGCAAATACACTAAGTGCCACTGAGTTATATACTTTAAAATGGTTAATTGTATGTTATATAAATTTAACTTCAATTTAAAACAAAACGAAACAAAACAAATAATATCACCTTCAATTCCCTGTATCCAACATCAGGGGGCTCAGGCACCCCCTTGACAAGTAGGACTGGACACTAGCCCCTGCCCCAAGCCATGGGCTCCCTTGGAACTGCAGCACTGTCCCTGGCCACCATTCCTTTGGATGGGTGCTGTGTGTCTCTTGCAGTGAGCACACAGGACCTGGTGGAGTTCACTGGGTCAGGAGAGCTGGAATTTGAACCCAGGGCTTCGGAGCTCCAAAGCTCAGGCTCTTTCCCTTCCCCCCATGCCCGCCCGCCACCCACCCACCCCACCCCACCCCCCGCCCCTGGGGAAATATCACAACATCCACCCATCTGCAGTGGATCTCTGAACCCTCCCTCCCCAACTTGGGTAGAGGTACTGGGTCCTAGGGTTGGCCACCAGCCAGATGGGGAGGTCCACTGAGGTTTTTATAACATAACCCTTCAGAGATTGGTTGTGCCAAAGGGTGGGGCCTTACCATACTTTCCACCACTTCTGCTCCCAGTTAGTTGTGAGGAGCATGGGGACAGTGGTACAGAGTGGGTCCAGGGTCCTACCCTGGGTGGCCTGGCTGCTCCTGGTGCTCCCTGTCACGGCCACTGGTAAGACATGCAGGCAGAGCCTACCCAGGTGGGAGCTTCGGGGTTACTGAGAGGACTTGGGTGGAGGGAACAAGAGGGAGGTAGGGACGGGGATGGGTGGGCAGCCCGCTCGGGGAAGAAGCCCTCAGTTCCGAGAAATGGCAGGGGTTGTACTCATCATCTCTGGGCAGATCCGCTGCCCTTGCAGCCGTGTGTGAGCTCCAGAGCAAACCTCCAGAGGACATGTTCGTCCTTATGTTTTCAGGGCACCCAGGATTTGATTAATCAGCAAGACACAGCCGTAGGAATGAGGGTCAGGAAAGATTTCCCCACAGCTCTAGAAACAAGCAGTGTGCAGGGAAGCACCGGGTTAGTCAAGAGGCAGAGAAGAGGGGAAGGGAAAACGTGGGCAAGAGCCTTTATTGTTTGCAGAAGGAAACAGCTAGGTGGCTAAGTAGGTTCTGGAGAGGCTAATTCAAATATTCTCGGTAGGCTCTGGGGCAGGGGCTCTCCTTCCTTATCTGGTATCTGGCCGTGGTGTGATTAGGGTAGGGGTTATTGATGGGAAATCTGAGAAGCCCAGAGGAGGTGGCTGGGGGCTCAGGCTCTGGATTGGTTGGTTTGCATCTGAAAGACACCTTTCCGGGAGTTGTTTATTAGCTCTACGAACTGGCCAGCCCTGGAACGTGCACAGTCCCTCCAGAGTCTGCAGGGCATCAAAATAAAGAAAACAAAATGATGTGGTTATTACACTTAATTTAGCAGATGAGAAATCCGAGGGTGAACGGCTAGCCTGATGGCCCAAAGCCCCATGGCAGGTCTGTGGGTCCCAGGAGAGCCTAGTTCGCCCTCCGGGGACTCGTTGGCCTAGAGAAGACTGGCAGAACTTCGAGGGGGGAGGAGAAAGTGAGGGGTCATCCTAAGGCCCATCTCCCAGGCTTGCTGGGAAGGCTAGTCACAGCGCTGGGTGCTAAGTGCTCAGAACATAGCTCACAGAGCAGGTACTCCAAGAACCAATGTTTAGTGAGTCCATTCACCTCCCTCCCACCATCACCTGTGGAGGCTGCAAACTCATTCACTGGCCTTCTGTCCTGCCCGCAGGGCCTGAGGTCACACAGCCTGAAGTGGACACCACCCTGGGCCGCGTGCAAGGCCGGCAGGTGGCCGTGAAGGGCACAGACCGCCTGGTGAATGTCTTCCTGGGCATCCCGTTCGCCCAGGCACCGCTGGGGCCCGGCCGGTTCTCAGCCCCACGCCCGGCACAGCCCTGGCAGGGTGTGCGGGGCGCCAGCACTGCCCCTGCCATATGAGTAGCCCCTTGCGGGTGGACAAGCTGGTGGGTGGCAGGGGTCTAGATGTCGGGGCTGGTGGGCTGACCCCCTGGCCCTCGGGCTCATCCCTGGCTGCAGGCGCCTGCAAGACCTGGAGAGAGGGGAAAATAGCAGATTTGTGTTGAATGGAAAGCACCGGCTCTTCCCTGTTTCAGAGGACTGCCTCATCCTCAACATCTACACCCCAGCTGAGGCCGCTGCAGGGGCTGGCCGGCCGGTGTGCGGCCCCGAGGGCCCCGTCTGTACCTGCAGCTCTGCCTGGCCTGTCCTCTCCCCAGCCCTGTTCTCATACTGCCACAGGGGTCCCAAGAACACCCTGGGTTGATGGGAGGGCAGCTGCTGTCCCAGGGGCTGGGGGTCACTGCCCCGTGGCCTCTCTGCAGGTCATGGTGTGGTTCCATGGAGGCTCTCTGGTGGCTGGCGCTGCCACCTCCCAAGACAGGTCAGCCCTAGCTGCCTACGGGGATGTGGTAGTGGTCACTGTCCAGTACTGTCTGGGCTTCCTCGGCTTCCTCAGGTGAGGTGGCCAGCCCGGGGGAGCGCCTTGCTGGCACTGGGCAGAGACCAGCTTGGGAGGCCCATCAGAGAACTGGGGTAGGGGTGCAGAGCTTGAATGCAGATTTCTCATGCATTTCTCATGCTGGAGAACAAGGGCTCCTCCCCCATGCCCAGAGTTATACAGAGAACTTGGTCCTTTGGACAGGAAGTGTTGACTCCTGACCTGGCGCCAGGATCCCAGCAAGGGATGGGGGCAAGGAGCACTGAGCTCTGGCGGGCTGTCCAGCTGGGCACACCCACACCACAGGCAGGGCAGGGGGCTCCTGAGCCTGCCTCCTACCCAGGCCAGACTTAGGGAAAGGGGAGGGTCTGCCATCCTGAGGGTTGGTTAAAGGCTGAGGACAAGCCAGCCAGCCTACCTTAATGACTGCCCCCAACCCCCCGGCTCCCTAGCACTGGCGACGAGCATGTGCCCGGCAACTGGGGCTTCCTAGATGTCGTGGCTGCTCTGCAGTGGGTGCGGGGGAACATCTCCCCCTTTGGAGGTGACCCCAACTCTGTCACCATCTCAGGCACCTCTGCTGGCTCCTGCATCGTCTCTGCCCTGGTGAGTCTTCACAGGGGGCCAGCAGCCATATCTCCCGTGGCCCCAGACATCCCAGGGTCTCTGCCCACCCCTGACAGCCCCCTGTCCTCCACACGGCACCCAGGTCCTGTCCCCTCTGGCCACAGGACTGTTCCACAGAGCCATCGCACAAAGTGGAGTCATCACCACCCCAAGGTTACTGGATTCTAACCCAAGCGTCCTGGCTCAGGTCTGCATTTCTTTCATTCTCTCTCACCAACATGGGCCAGCCCCAGCCAGCCCTGTGCTTGCCCTGAAGTCCCAGAGGGTGTCACTGGTAGGGAGCTCCCTACCTCTGTGCCTTGCTTTCCAGTGCCTCCCTTCCCGCTGACACCCCCCAGCCCGGCACCCCTATTGTCCTCTCCCTGCCACACTAGCCCTGCTGGAATCCCTCCTCTCTGAACCCTGTCTCATTTCCTTACTCACTCTGCACAGCTTGACTGAGCCCGCTGGCTCTGGGAATAGAGTTAACTAGATAATGATACCATTCTCAGAGGGGTAAGGGGACTCGGCTACCCACATGAATAATGACAGTATGATGCAATGGGAGACACACAGGGTGCCTGGGGACCACCCAAGCTGGTGGGCAAGGAAGCCTTGGGTTCCTTGGGTTGATGGCAGGTCTCTGGACAGTCCCGAGGCCTCATCTCTGACATCACTGCCCGTCTTTCCTACCGATACACCCTGTGTGTACAGGAGGCAGAGGTCTGGAAGGTGGGGGTTGTTGGGGGGAGGGAGAGGCAAAGCTCTTGTCTGTCCCCAAGGGCTTCGCAGACTCCCTGGGCTGCTGCTCCGCCTCCTCGGCTGAGGTGATGCAGTGCCTTCGGCAGACGCCAAACAAAGAGCAGATCCTTAGCGTAAAGACGGTATGCCCACCTCTCAGGGGGCGGTGGCAGGCAATGGGACAGAGGGGTCCGTCCAGCTCTCGTGGGAGCCGAGAAACTGTCAGCAGTCTGGGGTGAGGCTCAGGGCAGCCTCCCCTGAGGGGAAGGCTCCCTTGGCTGTGGAAGGCCCAGCCAGGCCTGGGAGCATGAATGGAGGGCCACCTCTTCTAGAAAAGAGGTCTGCTTGGAAGCATCCTTTGCTTGGGCTCCCTATTCCTCCTGGTCCTCCAACCCTGGTGACCTCTATCTCCTCTAAGGCTCAGCCACCCAAGCATGCAGCTGGGTGAGCCCCAGATGCCATCTTTTTAGGGCATAGGCCTGATTGGGAAGAACTGTGCCTTGCTTTCTCCTGCAGAACATGACAGCTTTCTACACTGTTGATGGAACCTGCTTTCCCAAGAGCCCCATGGAACTCTTGAGGGAAAGACACTTCCACTCTGTGCCCTTCCTCATGGGGTTCAACAATCATGAGTTTGGCTGGCTCATCCCCAAGGTGAATGTCATCTGGCTCTTGTGCTTTCAAGGCCCCGCCCCAGCCAGTCCTCTGCTGCCCCAACACCATCACCGCAGCCTGTGAGCTGACACTCCCATTTGATAGGTGAGAAAGTAAAGCTCAGGGAGGTTTATGGGACTTGCTTAAGGTTACCCAGATTAATTTTCCAAAAGCAAATGCTTGGGGACGAGGCTCTTGCACAAAGTAGCCTTCTGGGCAGCACTGATTCGCAGCATATTCTTGTCTTGGTGTCTGGTTTATACATCAAACTCTATGAGACTGGTTAGTATGTCTCTGTGCCTGGGAGTCTAATTACCTGAGACTTTCAGGTTCCAGATAACAATAAGCCAGTGGGGGACATCATGGCCCAAGTGCCTTACAGTCCCTTCCAGGTGAACAGAACTCCCCACACAAAGTGTTAACATGATGCTTTCCTTCTGTGCTTCTTTCCTATCATTCTCTTTCTTCTACCCATCTTTACGATGATGGACTTTAATGACTTCAAAACTTACAAAGGGAGGGTCTCATTGTAACATTCCTTAATTTCCAAACTTGGGCACTTTCTAGTTTTTATGACCGAAGCAAATAAGCCAGTGAACATCTGCACGTCCGTAGCTTTTGTCCTTTGATTTCTTCCTTTGGAATTCCTCTCCAGGAAGGACATTTGGGTGTTTGCTGGATGACAGGCTCATGCAATCTTGACACGCAAGGACAAAACTTCTAGAAGTTTCCAGGCCAGGTGTGGGGGAAACAGTGCCCTGGACCCTGGCAGGCAGCCTTGGCCCCACAACGTCAACTTAGAGCCATGAATTGAATGGTGAGAAAGAGCCAAGCTGGCTGGCTCCCAAGGCCCCAGGCAAGCCTCCCTGGTACAGAACCCTGTGCCTGGGACTTTGTAGCCACAGATGCTTCTCAGGAATTGGGTGGCTCAGGGCACTGCTCACCTTCTCACTGGTGCAGGCATTCTCTTCACTCTCCTTGTTATCCCTCTGGGCACAACTGTATATTTCTCAGCCAACTAGACGTTTACTGGATGTCCATGGTGGAAGCTTTAGCCATGGAAAGTAATCCAGACCCCTTATGGAGCCCTCTCCATCTCTTAGGCATTGCCACTGGCATAGCACTTGGCGAAGCTGCTACGCCAGTTTCAGTTGCGGCCGGCAACTTGAGTACCCAGGTTTTGTTGCAACTTTACCAGCATTTGCAGACTATAATTTTTAAAATATCAACTTTATTGAGATGTAATTTCCATACCATAAAATTTACCCTTTTAAAAAGTATATAATTCAGAGGGCTTTAGTATATCCACAAAATTGTGCCACCATCACCACTATCTTATTCTAGAACCTTTACATCACCCTAAAACGCAGCCCATACTTGTTGGCCATCACTTCCCATCCCACCTCCCCCAGCCCCTGGCAACCACTAATGTACTTTCTGTCAAATCTGTGGATTTGCCTATTTTAGACATTTCCAGCAATCTCTACACAGGAAGTGGGGCTCAGACTCACAGACCCGAGATCAAGAGTCACGTGCTCCACCAACTGAGCCAGCCAGGCACCCCCTAGACATTTCAAATAAATAGAATTCTACAATATGTGGGTTTTTTTGTCTGACCTCTTTCATCTAATAGGATGTTTCCAAGTTCTTCCATGTTGTAGCATGTATCAGCACTTCCTCCTCTTTTATGACTGATCAGTGCCTAGTTTGGATATAGTATGATTTGTTTAGCCATTCATCAGTTCATAGGCATTTGGGTGGTTTCCACCCTTTTGGCTATTATGGGTAATCCTACCCTGAACATTCATGTACATGTATATGTTTTAATTTCTCTTGGTTATTTACCTAGGAGGGGAACTGCTGGGTCCTAGAGGAACTCTGTTCAATTCTTTGAGGACCCATCTGTTTTCCAAAGTGGCTGCTCCATTTCCCATTCCAATACTCATTAGTTCTCATTATAGTCATCCTAGTGGGTATGAAGTGGTATCTCATTGTGTTTTTGATTTGCATTTCCCTGATTACTTAGGATGTTGAACATCTTTTTATGTGATAATTGGCCATTTTTATATCTTCTTTGGAGAAATGTCTTTTAAAATCTTTTGCCCATTTTAAAATTGCATGGCCTTTTTATTGTTGAGCCGAAGAGTTTTCTATGTATTCTAGATACAAGTCCCTTATCAGATATATGATTTGCAAATCTATTTTTCCCATTCCATGGGTTGTCTTTTCACTTTGTTATGGTATCATTTACAACACAAAAAACCTTTCATTTCGATGACTTCTGATTTATTTTCTTTTGTGCTTGTGCTTTTGGAGTAATATCTAAGAAGTGATTGCTTAATCCAAAGTCATTGAGATTTACCTCTATGTTTTTCTCAAAGAATTTTATAGTCTTAGCTCTTATATTTAGGTCTGTGATTCATCTGAAGTTAATTCTGTATATGGTTTAAGTTAGGGATTCTTTTGCATGTAGTTATCCAACTGTTCCTGAATCATTTGTTTAAAAAAACTTTTCTTTCCATATTGAAATGGAAAGAAAATAATATTAATATATAATATTAAATTATTTCATTAATTTATATGTCTATCCTTATGCCAATACCACACTATCCTGATTACTACAGTTTGTACTAAGTTTTGAAATGGGGAAGTGTGAGCCCTCCAACTTTCTTCTTCTTTTTCCAGATGGCTGCATTACTTTGCTAGAGTTACAACAGAGGACTACAATGTGGGGCAGGGTGGGGCACTTAAAGAACAGAAATTAATTGTCTCATAATTTGAGAGGCTAGAAGTCTGAAATCAAGGCGTTAGCAGGATTGGTTCCTCCAGAGTACTGTAAGAGAATCCATGCCTCTTCACTAGTTTCTGGTAGCTTCAGGCATCCATAGCTCTTGGTTTATGGATGGCATTCTTCCTCTGTCTTCACATAGTCCTCCCTTTGTACCATCCATCTCTGTGTCTGAATTGCCCCTTTTTACGAGGACACTAGTCATATTGGACTAGGACCCAGCCTAACGATTACCTTTGTAATCATCTTGACTAACTCTCTAAAGTCCCCATCTCTAAATAAGATCACATTCTGCAATACTGGGGGTTATGATTGCACATATCTCTTTGTGGAGACCCAAATCAATCCCTAACAATTGTTCTGGTTATTCTGGGTCACTTGCATTTCCATATGAATTCTGACCAGCTTGTCAATTTCTGCTCAAAAAAAAAAAAAAGTGGCTGAGATTTTGATAGGGATCATGCTGAATCTATAGTTAAGTTTAGGAAGCATTGCCGTCATAGCAAGATGGTGTCTTCCAACCCATGAACATAGGCTGTCTTCCCATTTACATAGGTCCTCTTTAATTTCCCTCAATTATATTTTTGAGTTTTTAACATACAGGTCTTGCACTTTATTAATGAAGTGGATTTCCCTGTATTTTATTTTTGATGCTATCGTAAATGAAATAGTTTTCTATACATCATCTTCAGATTGTTCATTGCTGGTGTGTGGAAACACAACTGATTTGTCTGTTGTTCTTGTAGACCATCATTTTTTTTTAAAGATTTTTTTTTATTTATTTATTTGACAGACAGAGATCACAAATAGGCAGAGAGGCAGGCAGAGAGAGGGGGAAGCAGACTTCCCGCTGAGCAGAGAGCCCGATGCGGAGCTTGATCCCAGGACCGTGAGATCATGACCTGAGCTGAAGGCAGAGGCTTTAACCCACTAGTCTAGGTCTAGGCGCCCCTAGACCATCATTTTTAAGACATTTGCGCCTTTAGCTACTGTGGCCTTTAGTTTAGTCCTTTACTTTTTAGTGCAATTAATATCCTCTTTTGGGTATACAGTCTTTGTGTTTACTCATCTGTGGGTTTTCTGTTCCTATTTTCACAAAGATTAGCAAAGAGCCTTGTAGCCATGAAACTAACTTCAATAACTAATGTTTCCGTAGTGTTTACTGTATGTCAGGGTCCTTATATTTGCAACCTTGGTGTTCATAATCCTGTGAAGCAAGTTATTGTCATTTCTTTTTCACAGATTAAGAAACTGAGACAGAGAGCTTAAGTAATAGGCCTGGGTCACAGACCTAGAAAGTAGCAGAGCTGGGATTTGAACCCAGAGACTATGCCCTTAAAACTGTAACATATAAAGACAACATTTCACTTTAAAGACAGCGTTTTAACTTCCCCTGTGGGGCCTCGTATGACACCTGGTCACACTTGGCTCTGTTCACAGAGCCGTGAACACCTGTCTGCTCCTGGTTGTGAGTGGAGGGTGGGCGGTGATAAGACTGTGATGAGAGGACCTTGATGTTCCCACAGGGCTGGGGTTTCCTGGATAGGATGGAACAGTTGAGCAAAGAAGAAATATTGGTCCTAGTGAGACCCTACTTGGCCAATTTGGTGAGTCAAAAGGGAGAAAGAGGTAGTCCAGTGGTATCCTATCCAGAATAGTAGGGCACCCTCCTCTTCCTCCTACCCTCCATCCCCCACAGCTACCCTCACACTGCCAAACCCCTTGGTTCAGCTGCTGAATTTTAGTTCCACCTAGAAATCCCCTTGGACATGAGTCAATGTGGTTCTCAAAGAAAGATGATGATCATCATCATCTTCATAGACCACCCCCTAATGAGCCCATACTGTGTGCCAGAGACTGTCCTGTGCTGAGCCCTAGGACACGCATTCATCTCCTTCAATCCTCATTATAACCCTGTGAAATAGAAATTTTCATTATTCCCATTTTGCAGAAGAGGAAACTGAGGCTCCAGGTCTCACAATAAGTAAAGGGCAGAGGCAGAGCTTCTGCCAGCTCTGTCTGATCCCAGAGCTTCCGCTGTTAAGACCATCCTGTCAGAGGTGGAGCCACTTGGACCTGAAGTCCAGTCACAACCCTGGCTACTTGTCCACAGTTAGCCTTTGAGCCCATTTCTTCATCTGTCAACGAGGATAAACTTCCCACCTGAGGAAACTGGATGCCATATTTGAAAAGTCTGCCAGGAAGCTAGTATTCAGAAGGTGCTCAATCTATGCATATTTCCCTCCCTTCTTCGGAACCCTCAGAGTCCTCCCCATTCATACCACCTCATCCCTGTTCTCTAGAGCCCTGGGGGAGCCCCCATGATTTGTTCTTTCACTAACTTCCTGGTTAAGTTCAACCGGTCAGTCCCTGAACACCAGAACCCTTAGCCAGGAACTTCACATGAGCTTCCAGGCAGCTCTGCCAGGCAGGAAACAACTTTCAACCTATTGGAGATCACACAGCCAAGCTGGCACTTTGGCTCCAGATCTGACCTGATCCTGCCCAGACACTGTCTAGCACCCCCACGGGAGGCAGGGGCACCCAGCACATGAGTCCTGGGATATGAAAGAGGCCATGCTGGAGGGTTTGGGGCTTCTTAGGAGGGTCTGCTGGGGCCATGGGACCAGAGCAAGCCTGAGCCTGGACTTCTGTCCCAGGATGTGCCCCCTGAGGTGATGCCCAGCATTATAGACGAATACCTAGGCAGCATTTCCGACAGAGAAGCCAAACGCAATGCTTTCCAGGAGTTTCTGGCTGACATGATCATCATCTTACCTGCCGTGAATTTCTCTAGAAGCCTCCAAGGTGAGCCTATCCCTGTTCCCCTGCCCCACCCTTCCCATTTTGGCCCAGGAGCTGGGTTATCACAGGCTACATGGCCCACACCAGGCTGCTGCCCCCATATCCCGCTTCCTCCCCAGGACACAGACATGACTCTGGCAGGTCACTCTGCAGGCCAGTAAACCAAGGCTCAGAGAGGTGCAGTGACTCATCAAAGGTCACCCAGCAGGGCTCATCACCAACTCTCAGGGATTCACCTGACTCATGAGTGAATTTTTCCCACATTCAGCACTTCTCCTGGGAGAGAAGTCTTGCTTCCTCCAAGCCTGGTGGAGCATTAGAACAGCTCCAAGCTCTTATCTTCATGATCTTGAGCAAGACGCCTGCCCCCTCTGTGCCTTAGCTTCCTCATCGGTAAAACGGCGACAGTAACAGTCTAATTGGTATGTTGCCAGGAGGGTGAAATGAATGATGACACAGAAAGTGCATGGCATGGTGGGTGACAACCAGCAAGTACTCAGCACGTGCTTGCTGACAGTGAAGTTGTCACCATCAGAACCGTTACTGGGTTGGTGTTACTCCGAGCCCAGCCTGCCAAAGGCAGGACCCCATCAGGCTGAGGGTACCTAACCCTGAGGCAGCCCTCTCTCCATAGATTCCGGAGTCCCCATCTTTTTCTATGAGTTCCAGCATCGACCCAGTTCTTTCGCGAAGATCAAGCCGGAGTGGGTGAGGGCTGACCATGGTGCTGAGATAGCCTTCATGTTCGGGGGTCCTTTCCTCATGGACGAGAGCTCCCTGCTAGGTGAGGACACAGAGACAGGCGATCCTTGGGCTACAGGCTCCAATGGGCTAGGCTGGGGCTTGTAGGCACACACGTCTCCAGTCCGCACTGGGGACCCTTGGGTCCTCTCCAGGACCCACCTGACCCTGATCCAGGTCTGTTTCTCCCATAGCCTTTCCAGAAGCTACAGAGGAGGAGAAGCAGCTGAGCCTCACCATGATGGCTCAGTGGACCCAGTTTGCCAGGACAGGGTGAGTGATGGGCAGGCACACCTGACTCTGGGCCTAGATGACTAGCATCTTCCCCCAGTGGATAGTGCGGGAGGCCTTAGCCTTCATTCATTCCTCCCTCCCAGGGACCCCAATGGTGAGGGGCTGCCTCTGTGGCCCTCCTACAACCAGCTGGGGCAATACCTGGAAATCAGCCCGACACCACGAGTTGGCCACAAGCTGAGAGAAGCCCGAATGCATTTCTGGACGGAGATGCTTCCTGCCAAGATCCAGCAGTTGCAGCAAACACAGAAGGGCAGGAAGGCCCAGGGGGAGCTCTGAGGGGTGGCACAGTCCCAGCAACGCAGCTTCTTCCTCCCTCTGCTAAGAAACTTTAGCTTAAAGCAAGCTGATGTACAGACATGTCCCTGAAAGAATCAGTCCCTCCACGACTGGCATTGTGCTCTGTTGAAATGTCACCTGCTGCCTTCTGCAAGGGCCTTTGTACAGATTCTTCCGTCTTCCTGAAGTGCCTTTCTCCCTTACTTCATGGTTAGTCACAGCTTATTCTTCAAGCCGGGGATCCCCCTCCTCCAAGAAGCTTTCCCTGCCTTCTTTGGGCCTAAGTGTGTGTCCATTACTGTATAGTCCACCCCAGACTAGCACTGTCTGTGTCTCTTTCACTTCTCTGAGGGTGGCAGTCAGCCTGACCCTGCTCTGTGTCTCCCACACAAGGGTCAGGCAGGACCTGGAGTCAGAGATGTCTGATGAACGAGTAAAAAAGAGTATGAGAATGGCGGCTGCTGGATGTGAAACCAGGCTCTTCAGCCACCAAAGCTATGCTCAGGGGTGCCTGGGTGGCTCAGGTTAAGCCTCTGCCTTCGGCTCAGGTCATGATCTCAGGGTCCTGGGATCGAGCCCCGCATCAGGTTCTCTGCTCAGCAGGGAGCCTGCTTCCCCTTCTCTCTCTGCCTCCCTCTCTGCCTACTTGTGATCTCTCTCTCTCTCTCTCTCTCTCTCTGTCAAATAAATAAATAAAATCTTAAAAAAAAAAAAACTATGCTCAGTCCTGCACAGATGTCCTCCTTGGCCAGGAGGGTGGATGGACAAGGCAGTCCTGGGGTATAGGGGAGTCCTGAGACCTCAGGGGAGCCAGCCTAGAACAGATCTTACCCCCCCAAGCAGCAATCGCCCCCAAAGCCTGACTCAGGTTGAGGGAAGTCACTTTCTCTGTGCTGTGCATACCTGTCTCCTGCATAAGACAAAACAGAATCCAGCTAGGCCAGAGCCTGACTCTTAGGATATGAGATGTGAGTTTCCCAGCCCTAGCACTTAGACCCTTGCCTGGGCTCCTCCCTCCGCTCCCAGATGGGGGAGACCAACATCTAGCGGAGCTCAGCACAGTCCCCACAGCACCTACAAGGACACAGGAGAACAGGTTGGGGGAGGGTGTCTGGACTAGTGCATCAGTCAGGCTGTTGTCTCAGAGAAAAGAAAAGACCTACCCACTCAGGCTATAGCAGGTGAAAAGGAACCAGAGATTTTTGAGTGAGGACAAACATTTCTTTTTTTGAGGACCAATGCCCCATTCCCTTGAAACATCTGGATTTTAATACATACCACAAAAACTTTCCCTGTCCCCACTAGCTCATCCTGCAGGTCCAATCCCACATATACACTTCCTCAGTCAAAATTCCTGACTGCTTGGGGCACCTGGGTGGCTCACTGGGTTAGGCCTCTGCCTTCAACTCAGGTCATGATCTCAGGGTCCTGGGATCGAGCCCCGAGTCAGGCTCTCTGCTCAGCTGGGAGCCTGCTTCTTCCTCTCTCTCTCTCTGCCTGCCTCTCTGCCTACTGTGATCTCTGTCTGTCAAAAAAAAAAAAAAAAAAAAAAAAAAAAAAAAAAAGTTCCTGACTGCTGAGAGTTACATGAAAAGCACTTGCAGTTGGGACCAATGCTGTTCAGAGAAGTCCATTTCGGGCAGGAAGGAAACACACAAAGCCAGATGGGCCCTGAGTCATGCCACTCCCCTGCTCAAAAGCTTCCTGTGATTCCTTGCCACCCTTAGGGCAAGTCCAAGTTCTTCACCTAGCATCCAAGGCCTCCTGTTCCCATTCCCTTCTCATCCCCTGGGAAGTTTGTACCCACAAGCCAGTAGAGAGTCTGACAAATAAACAAGCCCCAGTCACCACGTGCCACTGGGGACACAGAGGACAGTAGCAGGAGCAAGGCATAGGCCAGCCCTGACTTGGGGGACATGGGAAGGAAGAAGGACATCTAAGCCAAGACCTGGAGGACAAGCAGAGATTTCTCCAGGGTGCAGGCTGCAGCATGGCCTTGAGGGATGGACAGCAGCGGGAAAGGGTGTTCCTGGCAGAGGGAACAGCAGGCACAAAGGTCTGGAGGCTGAAATGTACTAAGGAAACAGTTCTAAAGGCTGGAGAGGTCAACAAAGACCAGTCTCTGAGGGGCCTTGTGGGCTACAGTGAGGGTGTGTGCTTGAGAGGAGTGAAGGACCTTGGAAAGGCTTTAAGCAGAAGGTGACGTGAACTGGTTGGGGGTGGTGGTGAACTTGGGCATAGCGAGAACAGGGAGGGGACCAGTGTAGGCTTCCAGCTAGGTGGAAAGGCACTGGCTGGCTCTAGATTTAGAGCAGACAGATAGACCTGCTGACTGATGGACACAGAGGTGAGGGGCTGCCTGGAGGCGAGCAGACCCAGGCTGGGAATCAAGGGTCCAGATTTGACCGCGCTGAACAGGGAGTCTGCTTCTCTGTCTCTCTTGTCCCTCCCCACCCCCACTTGTGTTCTCTCCCTCTCTCTCTCAAATTAATTAATTAATTAATTAATTATTTTAAAAAGAGAAAAGAACTGGCCAAGTTGCTGTACAGCTGAGTGGAGTAGTGTATATGTGACAGGCCCCCATGCCTGGCAGGTAGACACACAGTCTTATCTGCCTTCTCTACCACCCTCTCCCTCTCCCTGTCCTCCATTCTCCGGCTTGTCCCTTGCTTTGAGGGACACAAGTTTAGTGCATTAAGGTAAACCAACCTTGTCAAATCCTAGGCAAAAGAAACAAGCAGCTCTGTCACCTCCCTCAAATGGGGCTCCTTACTCCTATTGATGTGGCCACACACAACCCGTAGGGTAAGCTGGTAGCGTGAGGTAATGAGGAGGGGAACGTGGTCCAGAAAAAGGATCATGGTCCAGACGGAGCTATAGTAACCCCTGCTTCCTCGGTCCTGCCTTCCTTGTCCTCCCATCCCTAGTCTCTTGAACCCCACATTGATGGTGAACTCTCCACTAATGTTTTTTGTTTGGTGGGTTGTTGTTCTGCCGTTTGCTTGTTTGTTTGTTTAAATAGGCTCCACACCCAGCATGGAGCCCAACATGGGGCTTGAACTCACAACCCCGAGATCAAGACCGGAGATGAGATTAAGAGTTGGTCACCGAACCCAGGTACCCCCTCCATTACTGTTGTTAAAGAAAATATGAAAATACAGAAAAGTAAAAGAAAAAAAGCAAGGTCACTAATAACTGCAACTCAGACGTCATGTTGACATAAATACTTCCTGTTACTTTAGACATCTTTGGAGTGTTTTGGTGTGCACTCTCTATGGCCAATATATAATTTCAAATTCTGCCCTTTTCAAGTTGTTAAACCACATCAGCCTTTTCCCAAGTACTAATAACAACGAGTGACATAATGGGTTTTCCCTGTTTTTTTTTTTTAAAGATTTTATTTATTTATTTGACAGAGAGAGATCACAAGTAGACAGAGAGGCAGGCAGAGAGAGAGAGAGAGGGAAGCAGGCTCCCTGCTGAGCAGAGAGCCCGATGCAGGACTCGATCCCAGGACCCTGAGATCATGACCTGAGCCGAAGGCAGCAGCCTAACCCACTGAGCCACCCAGGCGACCCGGGTTTTCCCTGTTTTAAGTGCTTTCCCTACATTAGCCCATTTAACCCTCACTACAACTGTATGAGTTAAGTACTACTATTATGCTGTTTTTACAGATAGAGTAACCAAGGTTCAGAGAAGGCAAGCGATTTTCCCAAGGTCACACAGCTTAAGATTGGCAGTGCTGGAATTCAAACCCAGCAGCCTGGCTCAGAACCACCACATTAAGCCATCTACTGCTATCGAGTCTTACAGAACATACCATTACTGACCGTGTAACCAAAATTATATAATGTAGATATAACACCCCTTCCTCACCCATCCCTTCTGGTCATGTTGAGGGGAGACTGTTGCCAACAAGGCTACAGGATACTCATCACATATAGAATATTTTTAAGATTTTATTTTTATTTATTTGAGAGAGAGACAGCATGAACATGTGGCAGGACAGAGGGGAAGTGAGAAGCAGACTCCCCACTGAGCAAGGAGCCCGACGAAGGGCTTGATCCCAGGACTCTGAGATCATGACCTGAGCCAAAGGCAGATGCTTAGCCCACGGAGCGACCCAGGTGCCCATAAACAATTTTTTATGTATTTTGGACTATCTCCCAGACCAAATTTCTTGGTCAAAGGATGGGGGAGTTTTAAGGTTCTTGTTCCATTTTGCTTAATGATGTTAGTAAAGTCTGTTATTAACATGCCTGCCATCAGAGCATGAAGACACCTACTTTGCCAACAGTAAGGGTGTAACAGGGAGGGGACATTGATGTGTTAACCAAGACCCCAGGATGCAGTAGATACAAAAGTCCCTAAGCCACATCAAAAATGAGAATTTTGTAGAAAATGGTCTGAGAACCATTTCCACAACCCTTTAGGCCCCTTAGCCATTCAAGGCTTGAAAAAGAGAGTTCGGAGGCAGGAGATTTAAGGGAGAGATTTTTTCTGGAAAGAGCTGTTACCTCACTGTGAGTCCTCATCCTACTTTCTTCCCCTCAAGCTGTGGGGCTCTTTTACCTGAGACCAAGCGGCTATTTGTCTGGTCCTACAATAATTGATGTTTCTAGCACTCCCTATAGTGCATATGACAGTGGTTCATAAAGACCCTTGTTTTAGGGGTGCCTGGGTGGCTCAGAAGGTTAGGCCTCTGCCTTCAGCTCAGGTCATGATCCTAGGGCCCTTGGATCGAGCCCCGCATCGGGTTCTCTGCTCAGCAGGGAGCCTGCTTCTCCCTCTCTCTCTGCCTACTTGTGATCTCTCCCTGCCAAATAAATAAATAAATAAATAAAATCTTTAAAAAAAAAAAGACCCTTGTTTTGATGAGTTTCTGACTCTTTTTCTGAACCGAAGGAACTAAAAGGGGGATCACTGAGTCAAAGCATGCGACTGCTGCACATTGGGCCAGTTATTTCCCCAAAGCGTTGTGGCCATTTATCCTCCACCAACAAACAATACCTGGGAATGTCCTTCTCACCGTATCTTTGTATCTTTGCCAGAGCTGAGTGCCATCAATTTTTAATCTGTTGGGTGGAAGTTGTAACTTCTGGTTTTATTTATTTATTTTTTAAGATTTGATTTATTTATTTCAGAGGGAGAGAGAACGCATTAGCAGGGAGAGGGGCAGAGGGAGAAGGAGAGGCAGACTTCCCACTGAGCAGAGAGCCCAATGCAGGGCTCAATCCCAGGACCCTGCAATCGTGACCTGAGCCGACAGCAGATGCTTAACCCACTGAGCCACTCTGGTACCCTTTAACTACTGGTTTTAATTAACACTTTATGTCTACTCAAAAGGTGGAATATTTTCATAAGTGCTTACCCATCGTCTCTGGATAGCAAGGCTGCGATGAAGACCGCTCCAAGTCATCTCCTGTTCAGGGGTGTAGAGCACTCGGCTGTATGCTTAGGTGTCCCCAGAGACTGGAGGGAGGACAACAAAACAATACCACTTAGAGCAGGAGAGCCTCACTGTGTGACCTCAAGCAAGTTTTAGAACCCCCTTGAACTTCCATTGTCATCTTTGTATAGTGCAATAATAATAACGTTTACCCTCTACATATTTTTTTTAAAGATTTTATTTATTTATTTGACAGACAGAGATCACAAGTAGGCAGAGAGGCAGGCAGAGAGAGAGGAGGAAGCAGGCTCCCTGCTGAGCAGAGAGTCCGATGCGGGACTGGATCCCAGGACCCCGGGATCATGACTTGAGCCGAAGGCAGAGGCTTTAACCTACTGAGCCACCCAGGCACCCCGTCCCACTACATATTTTAGGAGGATGAGGTGAGATAGTCCATGTAAAGTGTTTGGCACAGTGCAAAGCATCAGAAACTCATGGTTGTTGGCTAGTTAATCATGAGTGGACCCAAGCTTTGGGGCAAATCCAGATTACGTGGCCGACCTCCACCTCCTTTTTCAGTCCTACGAGACCTCAGGCTGGTCATTGCCCCACTCTGGCCTTCTGAGCTTCCCCCAGCTCTCCCCAATGCCAATGAGAAGCTCACATGGCAGGACCACATGAAAAGGCTTTGTAAACTGCAAAGAACAGGACACATGGGAGGTTTGAGATGGCCCTTTGCCCCCACTGACCTGCCTCTGTGCCTGCAGGCTCACTGTTAAACCACCCCGTTGTGCCCAGATATTGCTTCTGTCAGCCCTGCGGAGACCTGGAGACGGGCACAGAGAAGTACTTTTGGCCAGCTGCAGCTGGAGGGACTAGGGTGCACTCCATCTTGTCAACTCCAAAAGCTATTACCGAAGCCAGGTGTTTGTAAATCTACTTTCCGAGCACAACCCTGAGATTTTCACTCAGAGTGTGGGCCTAGGAACCTGGGTGGGTTTTTTTTTTTTTTTAAGATTTTATTTATTTATTTGACAGAAAGAGACACATCAAGAGAGAGAACACAAGCAGGGGGAGCAGGATCGGGAAAAGGCTTCCCACCAAGCAGGAAGCCTGATGCAGGGCTCAATCCCAGGACCCTGGGATCAGGACCTGAGCCGAAGGCAGACGCTCAACAACTGAGCCACCCAGGTGCCCCAGAAACCTGGTTTTTAACATGATTTCCCCCACATGATTCTGATACACAGCCAAGTTCAGTAATACTTGGATCATATTTGCTTTCTGTCATTTGCAGAGTGAGTCCCAGGGGATCAGAACACAGAACAATTCAGTCTTGATAAAGGAGAAGAAGAAAGGACAGGGGTGCTTCAGGAAAGGGCAACAGATGCGAGGCCTAAGTGATGTTGGGCAACAAAATGGGGGGTAAGATGAGAGCCCAGAAAGTGCCCATTGGCAGAGTTTAAATTCAACTTGGTCTAGTTCATATTTATTCCAAGAGCTGGCTAAGATGTAGATCTACTTGTAGTGTGTCCATGTCCATGTGCCTGTGTGTAATATGTGAATGTATGCTACATACAGATGTACTGGAAGCTTTATATAACTGTTCTTACATGCATATGTATATATGCATATGCATATAGCTCTTGTATTTCCACATGTCTCATTGCAAATGAACTGAGCTCGTATGTACCTACCCACACATAGATTTGTATGTACATATGAGTATTAATGCAAATAGACATACGAACGAGAATGCCTATATGTGTGTGATTTCTTCCCAGAAGTATGTTATGTTAGCAATAAGAAAGAGGTATGATAATATCAATATCAGGTAAGCAGAATCAAAATGATACAATGTTATTGACATTAAATGATATGTTAAATGACAAAAATAATTTTTATAATAGATATGAACCTTTATGCATCTACCAACATAGTGTTGAAATCATAAATCAAATAATAAGAGAGAAAAATACTGAGAGAAACACAGAAAATGTACAAATACACAATTGTGAAAAGCTTCAAGCAGCAGCTGGGCCATGGGAGATGGGCCAGTGTTTTTTCAGGGACCAGAGTGACCCTTCTCCTCTCTTCCTAGGTACCCTGCACACCAAGGTAACCATGAAGTGGTTACCAAATATGGGACCCTCCAAGGAAAACAGGTGCACATGAGAAGACACCCGTCAGTGTCTTCTTAGAAGTCACCTTCTCCAGAGCTCCTGTGGGTACCTGCAGGTTTGCTGCCCTAGGGCCCCCAGAATCCTGGAAAGAAATCAGAAATGCCACCACCTATGCCCCTGCGTAAGAGCTGAAGGACTACTGCCTGGGAGGTGGGCAAACCTGAAGGAGGTTGGTGGACCTATGTATGCCTCTGAGTCAAGGTTTGAACAACTCACTAAAAGAGTACACTGTGCGGCCATAAGCAGGCCAGGGGCCCGTTCTGGGCCTCAGTTTCCAAACTTGCATAATGAAGTAATTGGCCTAGATGGTGTTTAAGGCACTGATAATTCTGTTCTTGTCTCTCTTAGGGGAAAGCTCCAGGTGAGGAGGAGGTGCTCACTAATCTGTCCCCAGGACCTTCTGGGGTGCTGAGTTCCTGACAAGCAATTAGTTTGTTCTTGGTTTCTTTCCTTTTTCTTGTTTTCTTTTTTTTTCTCTCTCTCTATTTCTCTCTCTCTCTCTTTCTCTCTCTCTCTCACACACACACACGATACTCACTTGGGGCTTGAGCCCCAAGGACACTTACCTCGCACTTGGGGCTTGAACCCAAGGACAAGCCCACATGGCACATCCAGCCCTTCGCTGTGAGAGGACCTCCAAGATGGGAAGCTCACAGGCTTAGGTTCAGTTTTAATGTACCAGAATCTTAATGCAACCTCTGGCAAGGCTCAAACCCTGAATCACATGAGCACGTTGAGACAGAGAATGGCTGCCCTCTGAAGCCCTGGCTTGGAAATTTACCCAAAACAAAATGTACTTATTATTTACTCAGATCCTTGAGTAACCCACCATCCAGCATTTTTCATGGCAATCATTAACAATCAGTTAGATAAAGCACTGGGTTTAGAAAAACGTCTATTATAAGAACCTGTGTGTCAGTTGATATGAAAAAGCTACAACAACCGGAGCGCCTGGATGGCTCAGTGGGTTGAATATCCCACTCTTGATTTCGTCTCAGGTCAAGATCTCGGGGTTGGGAGATCAAGCCCTGCACTAGACTCCATGCTGGGCTCTGTGCTGGGTGTGGAACCTGCTTGACATTTTCTCTCTCAGGCTACCTCTGCCCCTCCCCCATCCCGCACATGCACAGGTGCTCCCTCTCTCACTCTCTCTAGAAGAAAGGTGGAGGGGGGTGTGTGCCTGTGTGGCTTAGTCAGTTGAGTGACCAACTCTTGGTTTCAGTTTCAGCTCAGGTCATGATCTCGGGATCGTGAGATCAGGGCCCCCAAGGGCTCTGTACTCAGTGTGGAGTCTGCCTTGAGATTCTCTCTCTCTCTCTCTCTCTCTCTCTCTGCCCTTTCCCCTGCTCATGTGCATGCTCTCTCTCTAATAAATAAATCTTAAAAAAAAAAAAAAGAAAAGAAAAGAGAAGGGAGCCTGGGTGGCTCAGTGGGTTGGGCCTCTGCCTTCGGCTCAGGTTGTGATCTCAGGGTCCTGGGATCAAGGCCCGCATCAGGCTCTCTGCTCAGCAGGGAGCCTGCTTCCCCCTCCCTCTCTGCCTACTTGTGATCTCTCTCTCTCTCTCTCCGTCAAATAAATTAATAAAAAATCTTAAAAAAAATGTTAAAAAAAGACAACCACCACCCTGGGTGTCTAATTGTTGAGAACAGGGCATCCACTGTTAGAACACGAATGGCTGTTACTAGAATGCTGGGGTGTTAGTCATTAGAACAATGTCCACCACTGAGAGAAGCCCAGTCATTCTGAACACTCTGGGAATCCCATGGATCAGGTGACAGAACATGGGATAGCCTTTACTAGGGCCCTAAGGATCAGGGGTTTAGAGATCGGAGTATCTATTACACCAAAGTCTGGGTGTTAGTTGTTGGAACACTGGCCATGAGCTGTCAGACAATAGCTGTTTGAAACAAAGAGTGTCAGGTATAAGACTTTGTGGATGGCTTAGAACAGACTACAGGGTAGTAGTTAAGAAGGGAAAAAGACCAGTGACTAGTTTGGATAATGACTAGTTTGGGGCCAGAGCAACAAGGGAACCAGCAGAGAATGGAGCAGAATAAGCAGACACGGTCTCCTGTAGCCAGTCAGATGGGCCCAGCCCCAACTTCTGAGAACAGCCATTCTCAGGGCTGGTCCAGCAGGGAGAAAAGGTGAGGAGGTCCAAGAGCCAAGCTCCACAAATGTCCACATGGGTGCCATCCCTGCCCCTGGGGAGAGCATGGTTGCTTGGGGAGAAAAACAACCAAATAAAACAACTCCAACCCAGTACTATAGTCCACATGGATAGAGCTTTGGGGAAGCACAGAGGGGAAGTGCCCAGCAGAGGGGGCACCACTTGAGCAGAGCCTTAAGCATGAGTAGGATTTTGCCAGACAGAGGACAAAACATTTGGCAGAAGGGACAGAAGCAAAGGGGCTTAGAGGTGAGAGGGAAGGGTCCATGTGTATCTGGAGGAAAGGGTGGCCAGAAGACTAGAGGGAGAAGGTCTGGGGCAGTGCAGGTGAATCTGGATCTTATCCTGAGCACAGCCGGGCCCAGGAAGGTTTTAAGAAGGGGAGGGAAATGGTCAGGTTTCTGTTTTCTATCAATCCAGTGTGGAGGATGAGTTGGAAAGGATATAAAGAGGCTGGGGCAGTGTCCTGGCCAGAGGTGGTAATGGCCTTTGCAGGGCACCAGCTCTGGAAGAGAGGAGGAGGGCTATTTAAGAGCTGTTTGGGAGGCAGAGCAGAGACTGAAGGGAGGAAGGGGACATGAAAGACAGGGAGGTGCTCAGGGTACCCAGGTTTCTGGCTTGACAACACCAACAGGGTCTCCAATAGGAGCAGGGAGCCTCTCCCGCACAGACTCATGAGGGTAGGCTCCAGGCGGAGGGTAGACCCAAGGGAGCCAAGCCGCCTCCCACCCCTGGACCTTAACGCTAGTGAAAGCCACTTGAACACAGGCAGATACGCAGACACACACGCACACACACACACACACACACACACACCCCACACACACCCCACACACACACACCCCTAAATTTTGCGTTTGGCTCTATTCCCTCAACTGCGGAACCTGGGTTTGCAATCATTCTCCCCTCTATGGCCATCCCATTGGGCCCAAACTCATACGGTGTCCGCAGGGATCTTCAGGAGCCCTGGGGCCGACCGCTTCCATGTATCTCAACACTCAAAAACAATACAAGTGGCTGAGCTTCCGGGAGGACGGTCTGTACCTGAACTTGTACGCGCCAGTGCACGCGCGCAGGGACGCTCTGCTGCGGGCGAGTGTTCATCTCCATGCGCGCCGCCCCTTGCTCAGGCCTTGGCTCTCCCCTCCCAGGTGATGGTCCGGTGCCCAGGTGATGGTCCGGTGCCCAGGTGATGGTCCAGTGCCCAGGAGTCGCCTTCCTCGTGGGCTCCGCTTCACTGTGCCTATGAACAGGGCGCCGGCGAGAAAGTGGTGCTGGTGCTGCTGCAGCCGAGGAAGACCTCCTGGGCTTCCCGAGGTAGGCGAGGCCGGGGACCAGCACGAGGAACCAGGGACCCGGCATCCTCCGAACTCTGGCTCAGGGAGGAGGAGGTGCGGGCCGGATGGAAGGATAGGGGAGGGGGCCGTGGGGGCGCGGCTGTGAAGCGTGCGTGCTGGGGCGGCGCCTAACTTCACAGGATGCTCCAATGGAGAGGGACTTAACTCTCGGGAAAGAGGTATGGTCCCAAGACCGGGTGTCTCAGGGACGAGCCGAGGCTAGGCGAGGCGAGGCGGGGCCAGGCAGAACCAGGCAGGATCCCCTGAGCAACCAGACGGTCGGGGCTTCCGGACCCTGATTATCCCAGAGGAGATGAGATGAAACAGAGGCAGGAAGAAAGGAATGTGGAAGGTCGCTGCAGAGGGATGCAGGAGGCCAGATGGGCAGGATGGGGCAACTGGGTAGATGGGTGGGCAGAGCTGATAAGAAAGGCCCCTAGGGCTGGGTGGATAGTGCGGGGTGAGGGACACCACCGCTCCATTGACCAACCATAAGGCAGTTCCTAATCTAGAATGTTCCCCGAAATGAAAGCCTTTTGGTATGGAAGCAATAGTGGAAGGAGCAGGGTGGGGTGTTAGCATTCCACGTTCTCTTCCAAATGTCACATCCTATTCTGGCCCCCAGACATTCCACAGATGAGGAAAAGGTGCTGAGTTGCCAATTGATGAAATACTGGGCCAAGTTTGCCCATACAGTCTGAGTCTGGTCCCCTGACATGTCTGGGCAGTCCTCCTGCTCAGTGCTGGACCCACTGACCAGCTGCTTAGGTATTTGTCCCTGTGTGTCCCAAAGGAAATGCATGATCAGCCCAAGCAGACTGCCCCTTCTTCCCCAGTCACCAGGTCTTAAATGTCCCTAGAATGTGTTTTTCTCTGTCGCATGACCACACTCTTCATTCACTCATGTATTCATAATGCTCTGGTTTTTGCCCAGCCCTATACTGGGAGCTGGAATTCAAGAATCTTGCAGACATGACACACATCCTCCAGCTGCTTGTTAATGTTATAACAAAAACAGTAAGTTGCTGTACTGGGGGGAGCAGAAGGTGCTTTGAGAGCACGGAGGAGGTGTCTGACTAAGCCTGGATGGGCAGGAGCAGCTTCCTGGCAGAGGTGACATGTGGGCTGAGCTTTGGCTAGTCTTGTGACTATCTCCACATTCTCTATTCTTCCTATCCATCTCCCATATGACACTCAAGGGATCTTTCTGAAATATCATCAGACCAAGTCACTCACCTGCTTAAAACTCTTCATGGCTTCCCTCTGCCCCCATACTAAAGTCCCAAACCTCTTAGCCTCTTGGCATGAAAATCTCCAAAATCTTTACTATGACATCTCTCCACATCCATCCCCTTCACACACCCCCATGTTTTTCTGTAACCTTATAATTGTGCTTCCTCCAAAAGCCCTGATCTTTTGCACATACTATTCCCTCTGCCTGGAAGCCCTTTGCCACCACATACTTTTTTTTTTTTTTTCTTAAAGGTCTAAATATTATCTCTGTAAAGACTTCTTGGACCCCAACTTCCAAAGGGAAGGTGAATCAGGGAAGGGTAAGAGAAGCCTTGGGGAGACTGGCCATGGACTCATTTGAAACAAGCAACCTGCCTTCCCCAACGTAAGCCAAGCAGAGGATCCATCCTACCTCCTGCCAGAGCTAGAGCCTTAGCCTGTTGTTTGGGGCCCTGCACTCCCCTCTTCAGCCTGACATCCCATGATGCCCCAGATCTCACTGATGCCATCAGGTTAGGCCAGATCCTTTTACTGCTGTGCTGTGCCCCACTACCCAGCCTCAGGGCAAACCCTACTCTCCCTTCTCAAAATCCTCCCTACCCTTCGAGGTCGACTTGAAGCCACTTCTTTTGGGAAATCCACCCAGACTGCCACTGCCCCTAGCATTGAACCCAGCTTGTCATTTACCGTTCATCCTGCTCAGCCTTGTGCCTGTTCATATCACATTAGCCTGAGGCCTTGGGCAGGTTTCTTATTACATGGAGTGAAGCTTTGACAGCTTAGGATCTTCTCTCCCTCCCCTACTCACCTCCCCTCCAACCCCCCCCCAAAGCCTGGACACAGGATTGGTCCTCAATAAAAACCTGTTGACTTGGGGCACTTGGGTGGCTCAGCGGGTTAAGCCTCTGCTTTCAGCTCAGGTCATGATCCCAGGGTCCTGGGATGGAGTCCCGCATCGGACTCTCTGCTCAGCAGGGAGCCTGCTTCCCCCTCTCTCTCTGCCTGCCTCTCTGCCTACTTGTGATCTCTCTCTCTCTCTGTGTCAAATAAATAAATAAAATCTTTAAAAAAAAACCTAAAAAAAAAAAAAACCCAACCAAACAAACAAAACTGACTTGACCTGACCTTCTCCATCTGTAAAATGGTTGAGTGAAGCAGATGGTGTCTTGATTTGAGCCCTCAGAGGAGGGTGCATTGCTGCCTGCTCCTCCTTGGGCTGAGTCTGCTTTGCTACACTCAGTGACAGGGGCTATGGCAATTTGCCTGGATTGCAAAACATCCAGCTTTTTCATTGTCTCAAGTATGCCCCTCAAGGACATCCATACTCCATGCTCACTTGTCCATGGGTTTAGATTTTTGTGCTGCAGTCAGACTCCTCACTCTGGCCTCTGCTACAACTGGATCTGGGCATACCCCAACCTGTACCACAAGTTTTATTGGTTTAGTTTAGTTTTTTGTTGGTTTTTCGTGGTAAATATATATATAACATAAAATTTGCCCTTTTAGTCATATTTAAATGCCCAGTTCAATGGTATTAAGTACATTCATATCGTTATGTAACCACTGCCACCATCCATCTCCAGAATTTTTTCATCATCCCAAACTGAAACCCTACATCTATTAAGCACTGACTCCCTATTTCCTCTCATTCCCAAACCTTGGTACCCACTATTTTACTTTCTATCCTGTGAATGTGACTATCCAGGTACCTCATAGTAATGGAATCATACAATATCGGTCCTTTTGTGTCTGGCTTATTTTGCTGAGCATACTGTCTTCAGAATGCATCCAAGTTGTAGTGTGCATTAGAGTTTCATACCTTTTTAAGACTGAATAATATTCCATGCTATGTACACACCATATTTTGTCTATCCATTTATCTGTTGATGGACCTTTGGTTTGTCTCCACCTTTTGGCCCTTGTGAGTAATGCTGCTATGAACAATGCTGCTATGTAGTGTCCCACAGGTTTTATGCCCCAAACTACAGTGTTGCTTAGTCTCTATTCCTAGGGCTTCCAGAGTTCCTGAGACAACTAGAAGCTGCAGAGAGTGGTGGGGGGCAGGGGCCCCCAATCTTCCATGCCCCAGCATCTAAACCCCGAAAGCAAAGGAACGGTTGGAAAAGGGAGACAATACCCCTTTCCAGCAAATATTTATCTTCACAAAAACCCTGTCTCAGATTTTATTACCTCTATTTTACAAGGGTAACATTTTATTACCCCTATTTTACAGATAAGGAAACTGAGACACGAGACATAAAAGACCTCGCTCAAGGTCATGACCTAGTAGCGGCAGAGTGGGAATTTGATACAGGCCTGTCTGACCCACCCTGTCGCTTCCATCCAGACCTGGAGCAATCCCTGAGGGAGGATGGCCCCTAGAGGAGGTGTGGCAGCCCTATTCTCAGGGGACACATAGGCAGCAGAACATCCCCACCCACCTCTAACCAGGGGACAGTCAACCAAACAGCCATTCAGTAGGAGCTCAGCCCCCTGGAAGGTGGTCCTGGGCCCCCGGGGCACAACTCAGCAGGGACTAGCTGGGCTTGATTCACTTCAGAGCCTGCAGGATACCCTGACCTGGAGGTCCCAAGGTCTGACTGCAGGTTAGTCCAGGCCTGTTCCTGAAGGTCTCTCTGTTCCCTCCTTGGGCTCTCTTGCACGTCTGGGGAAGAAATGTGCTCCAAAGAGCCACCTGCCCAGAGGCTATTATCTCCCAAATCGGAGGGTGTGCCGCTGAGGAGGAACTAGGATTCAGTCAGGGCTCAGGCAGGCTGCAGCAGATGCCAGGCTCATAAAGGGCTCCCAGGGATACCCTAGGACCTTCTCTCAGACTTGGAGCCTGGAGGAATTCCAGTGGGCAGCCAGGATGGTTAGCTGGCCCCCTGCCTCCCGCCGTCCCTGCCCCACACCTACCCTGTCCTCTCAGGAAGACGTCCCTCTTCTTGTCTGCTCCTCTTGAGGTGGCACCCCTGGAGGAGGGAGGCGGGGAAGGCTGCCTCCCGGCCTGCGTCCACCTCAGCTTACTGGCTGCACCCGAGTCTCCGACGGCCACCCAGAGTTGTTCCTAAAGTCTCTGCCAGGCCCCATCCCGCAAGGAACGGTGCACAGATCTTGGTGAAGTCCCCAGGACACTTGGGTGGCTTTTCCCTGGGTTTACCGCGGCGCGCCAGGGCCGCCGCGAGGGCGAAGGCACAGCGGCGCAAAGCCCGCGTGGGAACAGCACGCACACGCGGCTCCCGCCCGCCCCGCGGCTCAGCTCGGGCTGAGCCTCACGCCCCGCTCCGGAAGCAGCACCCCTTCCTCCCCTCCGACACCCCGCCTGCCACCTCCACCCGGCCAAGCAGCAATTACCCGCGAAGGCGGCGGAGGGAGGGCCAATTAGTGCGGAAGACGCGGCGGATGCGCTGTGCCCCCGCTGACCGCAGCCCCCGCAGCGCCGCCGCCGCCGCTCTCTAGCGCCCAGCAGACAGCGCCCGCGGCCTAGGAGCCCCGTGGGACCCGCCGTCGCCTCCCGCCAGCGGCAGTGATAGATCCAGTCGCCTGGCTCCGGGCCAGAGCCCGAGCGGACGCGAGGGCGCCGGGAGCTGAAACTCACCGCGGTGGCGGCTTGAGGACGGGGTCGGGAGTCGGGGGC